TCAAGTATTTGGAACTCCAAAATTGTTTGTCATTATTATTGTCAAAATGAAGAAAAAAGACACCAAAACATGAAAATTTAAGTATAACAAATGAAAAGAATATAATGGAAAAGTGTCAGTCTATTTTGGTAAAATTCAAACAAATAATGTATATTTACAATATAGGATCAAAACAAAAATTGAGTGGTTAGAACATGGATATAAATTATCACCAAGAAAAGTTATGGAAATAGCATCAAAAATGTCTTTAGAAAAAGAAAAAATTACTGTGTTATATGATGGACTAACTCAATTTAAAGAGGGTTTGTATTAATCTTTTTGTGTAAATGTACAATAAGTATTTATTCATTCAGTAGGTGAAAGAATTGCTGACATACAAATTCCATTAGAAATGGAAAACTTTTGGATTCAACAAACACTTGAATTAATTTAACATATATTTTATTGTAATTCTTTTAGTTGTTTGGGTCAAAACGAAAATGATAAGATAGACAAAATAACAAAATTATAAGTAGATATTCTATAAATAAAATAGATAGAGGCAACTAAACGAAATAATAAGATTGTACTCAAAAAGTTATTTTAATGGAAACAAGAAGTTTTGACAGTATTGTTGTTGAAGGAGATATTATTGATGGTAAATATAATGGTGAAGTTAAAATATACCAAAAAGAAAATAAACAAGAGATTTATTATACTATGAAAAGTGGAATGGTTTTAGTAATAAATCAAATTCCAAATATTGAAGAACATATATTTGAATTATTTCCTTTTCCTCATTCATATGAAATAGAACAAATAGTAAATGAATACCAATTTATTTTTTCAAAATTAAATATCTTTGAAGATGTTATTGTTAGTGCTGAAAGTATTAAAGAAATTCTTGAAACAAGTGAAAAAATTGAAGAACTTACACTTTTAATCGAATTAATATCTAAACCAATTTCAATTCCAATTAATATTAGTTTTTTAAATACAAAAACAGGAGAATTACAAAATTTGATTGAAATTATAAGTTATTCAGCTCTTCTTGAAAGAATTATAAAGGATTTATGTTTTGGTAATTATTTATATATAATATTATGTAAACAATGTTTAGAACAATGTTTATTATTTCCAATGAATAAAGAAATTGGAATGGTTCTTGGTGAATTATTAAAAAATATAGAAAATAAATGTTCAGAAGAAAATAAAAGAAGTATATCATTAGCAATTCAAGTTTTATGTTCTAAATGTCAAATAAAAACATTAGAACAATATACATTATTAAAAAGAATAACAATTATTAAAAGTTATTGGAGAAACATTAAAGAAAATGAAAAAGAACGATTTATAAGAAAACAAATAAAAGAAATTGGATTTATGATATGTCGATATAATGAAATTATTCAAAGTCCTAAAAAGGTAATGATAGAAACATGGAAATATATTTGTAATTTAGTAGAAACAGATGATAGTATAATTAATATTATTAAACCATTATTTATAACTATTATAGCATCATATAGTAAAGACTATATTGAACATATTGGATTTATTCTAGATATTTGTAAAAACTATATTGAATTAAATCTTGTTGGTAATAATAGTGAATGTGATTGTTATATATTAACTATAATTCAAGAATGTAAAATGATATTAATTGATCAAACAAAAACAGTTGATGATGTTATAAATAATAATATTAAAAATATATGGAATATTGAAATATCAATTAGATATTTCAAAAATATCGAAAGAATTGAAAAACTATTAAATAATAAAATACCTTCATGTAATTATCAAATGAAAGAATATAAAATTATTCATATAAATTCAATAAATGTAGTTGAATCAATTTCTAAAGGAAATATTGATTTATTTCATTTTATTATTACAAGTTCTAATCCAATACTAAAAGAATATTTAACTCATTTTTTTCAATATATTCATTTTCCTTGGGAAAGAAATATTGAAAAGAATGAAAATCATCAAAGTTTCCATCTCACAGAAAAAACAACAAGATGTCTTTTATTTTATTTAATGTATTTCCTTGGACATTCACAAATGTTTGATGGAAATGAATCATTTCAAAAATTATTTCTAAAATTTATTAAAAATTTAATTGAAAGAGATGACATTAAAATGATTACTTTAAATCAAAATAATAAAGAAAATGCAATGGTTCTTAAGAGATATTTTAAAATAACAAAAGATATTCAATGTAGTTTATATTATTTTCATTCAGTATTATTAAATAATATTAATAATATTAACTTTATAAAAGATGAATTACTTGGTATTTATGAACAATATCTTCATTCTCAAAATGAACAATTAAATGAAATGATGATTATTAATAAACAACATATTTCTGAATTATTTAAACATTTAAATGATAAAAAAGAATTAGAAAATTGTGCATTGAAATTTCTTGGAGAAATTTGTGTAAAAACAGAAGATACTTCAATAATTCAAACAGAACAAAATGAAAAATATGTAAAAAAATTAATTTTTAAATCAAGAAATAATTTAATAAAATATTTTAATAAAATTGATGAAAATGAATTATTAATTGGTAAAGAATTAGGAAGAGGTGTTTATGCAAGTGTTAAGTCTGGATATTATAAAGGAAATAAAGTTGCAATTAAAATCTTTAATGAAAATTCATATCAATTCAGAAGTGAAGATTTTCTTCAAGAAATAGCTATTATGAGTTTGTTACATCATGAAAATATTATTAAAACATATGGTGCTACAGTTAATATGAAATTAAATGAAGAATCAACATTTTATATTATTAGTGAATTGGCAATAAATGGAAATTTAGAAGAGTTAATTACTAAAAAGTCTATTCATGAAGAAAATAAATTAAAAATGATTTTAGAAATTGCTAAAGGATTAAAATATCTTCATGAATTGAAAATAATTCATAGAGACCTTAAACCAGCAAATATTTTAATAGGAAATAATTTCACTATTAAAATATCTGACTTTGGTCTTTCTGCTTTTGTTAATGAAAAAAAATTAGACGTTATTTTAGGCTCTTATAAATGGATGTCTCCAGAACGTTTTTTAAAGAAAAAATATGGTAAACCAGCTGATGTCTATGCTTTTAGTATTATCTCATGGCAAATACTTGAATTGGATGAACCATTTCAACAATACGTTTCCATTGAGGATTTACAAAATGCAATTTGCTTTTTAAATGAAAGACCTCCATTAACAAATATCTCAATTGATATGAAGAAGTTATTAGTCCAGTGTTGGAATAAAAACCCAAACAAAAGACCAAATTTTGTTTCAATAATTAAAGAATTATTAATCAATTCAATTGACTAATTATATTCTCTCTTAAAATAACTTTATTTTTCTTTCTAGTTTGAATATTAATTATAATATAACATACACTATTAATCATTAATGTGTTTCTCTTCTTTTTGCAAGAACATTCAAGAGATACAATGGGATAAACATCATTATAAATATACTAATAGCAGTTATTAATACAATCAGCGCTTTAAATCTTGAACTTATTTTCGTGATTTTTTCTTTTCTTAATACCTTTTCCATTTCTTGATAATGATTATCCACATCAACGTGGATCATAGTATCTGTGACATTTTCCATTAAAATTATGAAAATGTTCAATAAAGATTTGTAATAGTTCAATAATTTAACAACAAAAAAATAAAAATAAAAAAATAAATAAAAAAAGAAAAAAAAAAACAATAAAAATTGTATAATTTTTTATAAAAAAAAAGAAATTAATTTTAATAGAAAAAAAAACCATAAAATAATAATTTAAAATCATTTGAACAAAACCTAGCTACACGTTTCAAATAAAATCACAAATTTGAAGAAACCCCGAATTGAAAAAGGAACTAAAAGGACTGAAAATTGCCAGTCTTAAGATGGGATTCCTTAAGGTTATCAAGAACAGAGCTTACTTCAAGAAATATCAAACTCAATTCAGAAGAAGAAGAGAAGGAAAGACCGACTACTATGCTAGAAGAAAGATGATCTTCCAAGACAAAGATAAATTCAAGACTCCAAAATACAGAGTTGTTGTTAGAATTACCAATAAGACTGTCATTGCCCAAATTGCTTACTCAGAAATTATTGGTGATAAGATCCTTTGTGCTGCTTACTCACATGAATTACCAAGATATGGAGTTAAATTAGGTTTAACTAATTATGCTGCTGCTTACTGTACTGGTCTTCTTCTTGCTAGAAGACTTCTTCAAAAACTTGGTATGGACAAACAATTTGTTGGAGTTTCTGATGCTGCTAAACTCGGTGAAGATTACACTCCAGAAGAAGTTGATGAAAGAAGACCATTCAAATGCATTCTTGATGTTGGACTTGCTAGAACTACCACTGGATCTAAAGTCTTTGCTGTCCTTAAGGGAATGTGTGACGGTGGAGTATATGTCCCACACTCTGCTACCAGATTTGCTGGTGCTGGAGAAAATGAAGAAGCTCTTAGAAGCAGAATCCTTGGTGGACACGTTGCTGCTTATATGAAATATCTTTCTGGTGAAGATGCTGATCTTTACAAGAAACAATTTGGTAGATTCATTGCTGCTGGTATTGCACCAGAAGCTCTTGAAAACATCTACATTGAAGCTCATAAGAAGATTAGAGAGAATCCAGCTGCTGAAAAGAAAGAAAAGAAGGAACACAAGAAATACCCAACCTCCAAGAAGCTCACTCTTGAACAAAGAAAGGCTGCCATTCAAGCCAAACTTGCTAAACTTGCCCAACAAGCTTAATTCCTTTGATTTTTTATTAATTTTGTTTAATAAATATTTATTAATTGTTGTATAATCATTACTAATTTTTGTTATTATTGTCAATAACAAGTATTTTTTATAAAATTTATTGTTACGAAAAACAAGAAACAAATAACAAATTATTGTTTAAAAATAAAACTAACAAAAAAATACAATGAATTTTAGAAAAACAAAAATTAAAAAAATCTTTCATTTATAGTTTATTGTTAATGATAAAACTTATAATCAAAGTGGTAATTGTGGTGGAAGATAAGTAACAGGTTGATTAACTCCATAAGAAATGATAAATAATGGAAGGCAATAAGAGTATGAACAATCGGTTGGGTTGTTAACACGATAACAACAACCACTTATTACGGTGTTAAACTTTTTTGATGATATGAAAACCAACATCATATGATTACTACCTCCTTTCATATAGGATGGATGTCCAGATGTTGTTGAGTTAATTCCAAAATAATCACCATCTTTTGCTTGTCTTTTTGTTGGGTCAAATCCATTTTCACAAATTGATCTGACTGCTGCTTCACTACTCCCATGAAAAGCAAAAAATCCATCACTCACATGTTTACATCCTGATATTTCCAAAGATTTGATAAATAATTGATATGACTGTGAATTTTTTTGAATAAAAGTATTGAATTGTGATACTATAATTTTTGGATCTTTTTGTTGTTGGATGAACTTGTTTCCTTCTTCAAACAGTTCTTTGATGAGTTGGTTAGTCATTTTAGATGATATGAATTAAATAATAAATAAAGTGATTAAATACACTATAATAAAAATGGAATGATGCAAGGCAATATTTATTTAAATTTAATTTATAAACATTTATTATTTCATATGTAGTAAACATCATTTTAAATAAAAATTTGTTTATGGAGTTTTTCTATTTCAATACATTTCTTATTTTATAGAAATTGTTATATATTCTAATATTTTGGTGAGTACGAAAATTAGCAAAGAAAAAATGCATCTAAATAATTTACAAAAAAGAAAAAAGATGCAAAAAAATTTGCATCCATAGAATATTCCATTTATTATATTTTGCTCCTAAATAAAAATAAAAAATATGATAAATATATAATCTGTATATATTTATGTTTATATTTTATGATCAATTGTATTCTGTATGAAATATTAATGAAATAGATGATTTGATGAATCATATTTAATTGTTTTAATTATTTTTATTCTTTTATTTATATGTTATTTATCTATCGTATTTTTATATTTATTTCTTTGTTTATATTATTTATATCATTGTATTCTTCTTATTATCTATATATTATTATATTATTCCTATTATATTATTTTTATGTTTATATTATTTAGATTTTCTTATTGTTATTCTTTTCTATTTAGATATATTTTATTATTTGAATATTCATCTTTTCATCTTTTTTATATTCTTATCATTTATATCTATTTTCATTTTATATTTATTCTCTTTTGTTTTATATTAATATTAATTTTATCTTTTATACTTTGATTTTATTATTATATCATTGACTATCATTTCTCGTTTTATTTATCATTTATTCTTATTATTCTTTTGTTTTATATTCTATATCATATATTCATATCATTTTCATTTATATTTTATCACTTATTATATGTTATATAATAACATAACACATATGATTGAATATATAATAAACATCATGTTTAAATTATACATATAAATAATAAACATAAAAAAGAGTAAAATATTTTTCATTAATAAAATATTGTTAATCATTTTACATCATTAAATTAGACACTTTTATTGAATATTTCTAATTTTTACAATAAAAATACACTTTTTATTTCTTCTTTGTTTTCTTCTTTTATTACTCTTTATCTTCTTTCTTCTTTATATTCTCTATTCTCTACTTTTTATTATTTCTTCATTTTCTTTTTATATTATTTGTTTGTTTTCTTTGCACTTAACTCTTACCACATTCAAAATGTTATGATTCTTTCTATTTTTGTGTTTATACATTCTTTTACTAAGTTATTTTTCAATACCTTTTATTACCTTTGTTTTTTTTTCTATTTGTATTTGGTTAAATATTACTCCAATACATAAGTATATTTTATTTGTTGTTTTTCAGCAAGTTAGTTTCTATAAATAGTACACCTCAGTAAAGATTTTTAATATTTTTGATAAACAGTATTGATGAATATTCATGAATTAAGTTATACTATTTCTTTATGATAGTTTATTTTTATTTGGTCATCCTTGGTTATTTAATAATGATAAAATTAATTCTATAATCAAAAATAGCAACTGAACATGTTTATTTTTTCAATTGTTATTTATATATAATGATCATCGAGTAATGAGTAGTTGAATATTTTTATTCACTCTTTTATAACTATTTTCGTTTAATATTTTTTGTGGTATTGTTTTTTTTTTGTCATAATTAACAATTTTTCTATTATTTTATTGCCTCAACTCTATTATTTTTATAAGGCATATTACTTATTAAAACAATAAAAATACAATATCATACTATTTTATGTGTTTTTCATAGATAACACTATGTGCTATTTTGTGTTTTTAACAATATTTACGTAAACTTTAAGTTTTTTTCGTATTAATGCTTATCCTCCTAACGACTTTGTTGATTTAATTATATATTGTTTTTGTTTATTAACATTTTATAGTTGTGTTAACAAAGATATTCTTTTTATTTTATTTTAACATGGCAGTATTAATTAAGTAAGCGTTTAAAATTTTTAAAGAATGTATTTTAATTTGATTATTAATTGAATAGAGTATGTTCAAAAGATAAAATAGTTTTTTTAAATATTTTAAAGGAATGTGAATTATATTATTATTAAACTATTGACAAATATGCTTGTTATTTACATGATATATTATACCCAAAGTCAGTAAATAGTATTATAAACAAGTCAACAAAATTAAAAAAAAACACTTATAAATACTTGATTAATTAAAATAAAAAAACACATATAAAGAAAAAGGAAATGATATGAGATACTCAATTCATTGTTTAAACAAATAAAAGGTTGAATAAAAATACTTCAAGAATTACAACAAAATAACAAAACTATTGTCTCAAATTACTTTAATTAACATATTTTTCACTTGTAGAAAGTAAGTCAGAGTTAGTCAAAGAAAATGAAGAATAGTTTCTTCTATTATTTTGTATTAATTTTTAATGCTACAGAAATTTAGTGTTTTATTTTTAGTCATACGTACGTGGAACCACTCTTTGAATAATAAACAACATTGAATAGAAATACCATTAAATGAAAATCTAAAAAATCACTCTCATTTACTCAAATGGAAGGAAAGACAAAAGAAGAATTAAAAATGGATATGGTAAGTGAAAAATTAGGCAAATACTTGTTACAAGGATGGACGATGTTAGGTAGTTGTTGTATAAATCATCCAACTGTTCCTTTAATGAGAGAAAGAGGTGGAAAGAAATGTATATGTGTACTTTGTGATGATAAATATTATGTTGAAGATGGTAATAACTTATTAATGTATCTTACAAAAGGACAAGACGATGAGGTTATTCCAGAAGAAACCAAACTTACTTTAAATGAGAAAATTCCAGAAGAAAAGAAAGAACCTATTCATCAACTCAAAGAATATACAAGTGAAAGTGATGAAGATGATGACGATGAAGAAGAAATTGCGTTAATGATGGCAATTGAAAAACAAAAAGAACAACAAATAGGAAGAGGAAAAAAGAAAGAAGGAATTGACTCTTACCAAAGAAAAGGAGAGAGTAATGTTTCCGATACAACAAAAGATGTTAGAAAGACTCCTCTCAAATTATTTACTTCAACAAATACAAATAATTCAAAAGACATGCAAATATGTATCCTTGAACATAAAATTGATGAGTTAGTTAAAGAAATTGAAGTTACTAGCCCAAAGAATGCTGATTTGATAAGTTCAATGTCTGTTGCAATTCAACAATTAAAACAAGCAATTTCTTCTCTTTAATTATTCATGTTTTATTGAGTTGAAACTTGTGAAACAAAATAAAGATTTATTGAATTAATTTTTATTCTACTTCTATTTGGTTTGAATCTCCAAGAGTGAAGTATTGAGAAGAAAGAAATCCACCAACAGAATTATTGTTAGAAAATGCTCTACAAATAAAAAGACCTTTGTCATTTGGTTGTAAAGGAATATGAATAATATTATCAACCATTCCTTTAGTATCTTGATAGTGTATATATTTTCTTCCAATAGGACCATCAACAGTATATAATCCAACCCAAGAAACTTTGTCAATTGGTCCTTGTGATAAATAAACAATAAGCTCTTCACTTTGTTTAGAAACAATCATTTTAACTGGATTTACATCGATTTGATTCAAAGTAATTGAGGTTGAATGTTCTGAGTCAAAATATTGTAGTTCATATTCTCCATCTTCAAGAATTAATTTCCATACAAAAGAAATGCTTTTTCCTATTTCCCTTTTGTCTTTAACTAAATTTTCATTATACCTATCAACAATTTGTAAGAAATTATTTTTGAACCGTTCATTTCTATCAAAGCTTGCAGTAATCATACAATCGTTTCCATTAATATTTATTTGAACATCATATTTTAATTTTGTTTGGATTAATTCTTTAATTTCTTTTTGTTCAGTTTCATTGTTAAATTCTTTTTCTTGTGACTCAGTTAAAATAACTTCTTGTTCTTCCATATTACTTGGGGGAAGTGTTTTTTCTAAATCATCTCCCTTCTCAGTTTTTGTAATGTCCTCTTCTTCTTTTCGAGGCAGAGGAAATAATGGCATTAATATTTTTGGTGGTTGATATTTTATTGTATTATCATTGCCTACGTCATGGACATTGACATTTTCTTCTTTAGGAAGCTCTTTATGTTCTTGTTGTTGGTTCTTTTCCTCTTTTTTGTCTTTCTCTTTTTGTAATTTTACTAGTTCAGTGACTGTATTATTTAAATTTCTTCCACATAATTGATAAGTTTTTTCAATATCTATACGTTGAAGTTTTGGAAATGCATAATATAACTGGTTAATATCAGAATTGTATTGTTCTAATAATTCATTTCTTTGGTTTGGTGTAAGACAATTTACAACTGATGGGTGAAGAGCTAAACGAGGTTCTAATGTATTATCCATTTGATTTAATTCTAACCTTTAATTTCAAGTTCTCATTTAATCATCCAACCAATATAATGAGGTTTTTTTTTTGTCTTTTCACACTGAATGACTTTTCTGTGATTTTAATTTTCTGTGATTTTAAATATATAAAAAACGAAATAACTTAACTAAACCATTTTTTAAAAATATTATTATTGTGTAATATAAAGCAAAAAAATAGTAAAAAAACTATGAATAAGTTCAATGAATATTCGTGGTATTTGCAGGAGTGAAGATGAACTAAAAAGACGACAGAAGAATTTAAACCAACTCAGAACAAAAAGAAGAGACCATTTTCTTCAACAAAGAAGACAAGAAGATACTGAAGAGACCTTTGTTGAACCTTCAAATTATTTTGAATATCTCCATGAATGCAAAACACGATTAACTAATCCTCAAACATTATTATCAGATAAAATAAAAATTGTTATTAACTTAAGGAAATGTGTCAGTTCAAAACAATACATTCCAATTCAAGAAATGATTGAATGTAATACATTTTCCATTTTGTTAAAATGTATGACTGAAGAACAAAATGATGATATAAAATATCAAATCGCATGGTTTTTCACAAACTTAGCAGTTTCATTAGACTCTGAAACGTCAGATCTTATTGTTCATTTAGGAGTTATAAAAGTATTATTACATTGTGGGTTAACAACTCAAAAATTTGAAACTTCTGTTCAATGTTTATGGGGAGCTACAAATTATGTTATTGATAGTAATGATTGCAAAGAAATAGCTTCAGCAAATGGAATTTTTACATTATTAAATAGAGTAATTACAAATGATATAAATAATGTTCATGCATATTGGTCATTATCTTCATTGTTACGAACTTCTGATTGTATTACATCAGAATTACTTAATACATTTATTCAATACATTGCTTATGGATTGTCAAGTAATAATGATCCTATTATTGTTCATTGTATTCGTTGTGTATTTTATATTGGAAGAAATAAAACAGGATTGATTAAAATGTTTAATTCTTCAATTTTTATTCGATGCTTTTATTTAGCCTCTTCAAATAATCAGTCAATCAAACAATCTTCATTTAAATTTATTCAATGGGTTTCTTCTTCAAATGATGCTGATTTTATTCGATTATTTGATATAACAAACATTATTCCTTATTTTATAGATATGTTAAAAGAAATTCCTCTTTCTTGGTATCATAGAATTATTATGTTCACTTTTAGTAATTTAGCATTAACCAATGATAAGTACATTGATCAATTTATTGACAATGGTACTTATTATATTGCTATTCAAATTATTATAAATTCAACAGCACCAGAAGAGGCTTTAATTAGAAAAGAGTGTTTTTTATTCATTTTTTATTCAATTCAACAACATTATATACCATTATTAGACCATTTAATACAAAATGATTTTATTATATCCATTTTTAGTAAAATTAAATGGACTGATAATGAACTTGTAGCACAATCAATTTCAGCTGCTGAAATTCTTATTCATAATGAATCACAACTTTATCAATTTATTGATCAATTTAGAGAAATTGGTTTTGATAAAAGATTACAAGAAATAACAGAAAATTCAGATAATGAAGACTTAGTGGATAGAGTAAGTACCTTATTATTGGAATATTTTGATGGAGAAGAGCATGATGAATTATCGTTATAATCTGATTTAATTAGATTGTCTACTAATTAATTGATAAATAATTAGAATCTTAGTTTTTGTTTGATGTTTTAAAAAATGAAGAAATATCAAAGAGTTTTTTTAAAATAAATAAAATGAAAGTAATTTTATAAATTTGTTGATTTAAATTAATAATATTAATCATAGAAATATAGAATAATATTATTACTTAATAACTTTCAAATAAAAATATTGATTGTATAGAAGTATCTGTAATTTATATCACAAAAGAATAATAACATATTGTTACTTTATAGTAATTAAATAAGAAAATAATATATTCACTTTTAAAGATTGAATAAAGAAGAAATGAAATAATTATAAATATAGTAAATCTATTTTGTTTTAATAGATTAAAATGTAATTAATAAGAAATTATTTTTATACTATACTTTTAATTATTTTAAAATAATATGTTATTGTTATTTTTATAAATATTGATTTGATTTATTTTTGTGTTATATCATGTTTCAATAAGAATTACTTGAAACAATCATAACTCAGAAACTATTTTTTACTGATTTAGTTTTTTCTTCATACAATTATATTATTTAATTTGTTAATATTATGATAATTATGTTAATGACATTCTATTAATTAAATTTATTAAGAATCATATAATATATTTTTGTTTTTGAATATAGAACATTTCTTAAATTTAAATGTAAGAATGAATGTATTTCTATTATTATTATAACTAAACATAATTCCACCTTGTCAATTATAAAAAAAAATTATTGAGTGAATATGACATTCTAATTTCATTTATATTAATTTGTTAACAGGTGATTTGACTTTTATTTTGTTTCGTATTTATTTATAATAAAGAGATTGTTGTTATAAAGTCAGAAGTTTTTGATGAGATATGAATATCATAATATGATACGAAAGTTTTATATAAGAAAATATAACTGAATGTCAATTAATTAATTTTTTACTTATAAAAACTTATTAAAAGAATTATTTATTACTTTATCCGTTCCTTTTGACTAAAAATATAATTACTTTTGATAAAAAAAGACAATACTACGAAAAGAAAAATATATGAACCAGAAAAATAAATTATTCTTCATCAGCAGTGTCTGAAGTCCAAAGAGTTAAGTTATCTCTTAAGAGTTGCATAATAAGAGTAGAATCCTTATAAGATGATTCTGGAACTTCATCAAGTTTGGCAATTGAATCATCAAATGCTTGTTTAGCAAGTTGGCAGGCTTTGTCAGCATCATTCATAATTTCATAATAGAAAACAGAGAAATTAAGAGCAAGACCAAGTCTAATTGGATGAGTTGGTGCAAGATCAGCATTAGAAATTTCTGTAGCTTCAGTATAAGCAGCAAGAGATTTGTCAGCAACTTCTTGTCTCTTTTCATCTACAGTAAATTCAGCATAATATCTATAATAATCACCTTCCATCTTTTTATAGAAGACTTTGCTTTCAGAAGTAGAAGCATTTGGAAGAAGATTTTCTTTAATTACCTTAAGAACATCATCACAATATTTAGCAAGTTCGTCTTCAATTTTAGCTCTATATCCCTTAATAATTTCAACGTGTTTGTCATTTCCTTTAGCTTGTTCTTTTTGTTCAAGAGAAGTAATAATTCTCCATGAAGCTCTTCTAGATCCAATAACATTCTTATAAGCAACAGAAAGAAGATTTCTTTCTTCAACTGATAATTCAGTGTTAAGAGCAGCAACTTGTTTCATGTATTGAACCATTTCATCATATCTTTCACTTTGTTCAGCAAGTTTAGAAAGGAAGACACAATCTTCACGTGATTCAGCCATATTTATTTCTATTTGTTTATTATCAGTTCTTCCTTAAAAAGTTCAGGGTTGACACGTTGATCTTTCTTTTTTTTTTTTCTTTTTAGATTTTTTTATAATCTATTTTTAATAGTTTTTTTCATTATCTCTTTTATTATTCTTTATTCCTTTTTCAGTTCATGATATTTTTAGAATTATTTCTATTCTGAGCGAATCTAAAAATACACTGAATTTATCTCTCTTCATTTATTTTTAGGATTTTTCAGATTTTTTTCATTATTCATTTTTGATGTATTTTTGTGGGTTTTTCCAATAAACTTCAAAAATAGTGACGCTTTTTGAGGTTTTCAAGATTTATTTAAAATTCAGTTCTCTTTGAGGAATTAAGAAAAAGAAAAACATTTTGTTTATAATAACAATTTATTTTTATGAAAGAAGAAAGAGAAAAAACAAAAAAAAAACCCTGAAAAAAGAAAAAAAAGAACATCTAAAAATTCATATGAGTGAACGACCCAAAAGTTTTTCTCGATATTATCGTGATGTATTAGAACATAAAGAGAAGATATTCTATGACTATGAAAATGTTACTGTTGAATGGGGAAATCAAGACCCTTATCAAATTGTACGTAAAATTGGAAGAGGAAAATATAGTGATGTTTTTGAAGGAGTTGTAGTTGAACAAAATGTTCCATGTACTATTAAAGTGTTAAAACCAGTAAAAGCAAAAAAGTTTAATAGAGAGATTTTAATATTACAAGACCTTCGAGATGGACCAAATATTATTCAATTATATGATGTTGTAATGGAGCCATCAACACAAACTCCTGCGTTAGTTATGGAATATGTAGAAAATGTTGATTTTAAAACGTTATATCCATCGTTAAATTATATGGAAATATGTTATTATTTAAAAGAATTATTAAAAGCATTAGACTATACCCATTCAATGGGAATAATGCATCGTGATGTTAAACCACATAATGTTATGATTGATCCTAAGAAAAAAATCCTTAAATTAATTGATTGGGGTCTTGCAGAATTTTATCATCCAGGAACTGAATATAATGTTCGAGTTGCTTCAAGATATTATAAAGGACCAGAGTTATTAACTGATCTTCAAGACTATGACTATTCATTAGATATGTGGAGTTTTGGTTGTATGGTTGCTACAATGTTTTTTGTTAAAGAGCCATTGTTTAAAGGTTCTAATAATAAAGATCAATTAGTTAAAATTGTTCAAGTATTAGGAACTGATGGATTCCAAAAATATGTTCAAAAATATCATTTGGAAATTGAAGATAAGTTAATGCAATTATTAATTGGATTTCCTAAAGTTGATTGGGACACTTTTAAAAATGAAAAGAACCAACATCTTATTACACCTTATGTCTATGACTTACTTTCTAAATTATTGGTTTATGACCATCAAGAACGTCTTAGTGCAAAAGAAGCAATGAACCATCCACTTTTCCAGTGTTTGTCTAAATAAATTGAATTTTTTTAATAAATTTATTATTTTGATATGGTTAATTTTTTTTTAAATAAAATTGAATGATTTAATTTAAAAATATTTTTAATTCTTATTTCTTTTGTATTAGACAATATGAAGAACAATACATTTCTTCTTCTTTTTTTTCATCGTAAAGATATTTACTCGTTAATGAGTGTGTAGTTTGAACAGTAACTTTGCATAAAGTTTTTGGAACATAATCATAATCACAGAAATTAGTTGCAGTTGTAATACCTAATGCATTTGTAACAGATGCTTTTAACCTAAACCAAAAAATACAACTTTGACATAATGTTTTTACTTTGATTTGTTCAAATGTTATTGAATTAATAAATGAAGCCAAATAATTAATTTTTGATTTAACTCTTTGTTTAATAAATTCTAATTCTTCACTATGAAATAATTTATCTTCTTCAATTTTACGTTGTTCATTCCAATAAAGAATATTTTGTTTCATTTCAATAAATAGTAATTTTATTTTTGTAATTGTGTTTACTATTTGTTGTTTAATTGAGAATGAAGGTTCAATATTATACTCTTCTTTTTTAAATTTCATTGAATTAATTTCTTCAAAAGATAACAGAGAAGAAATTATAATTGTGTGACTAATTTTTAAATTAGACAAATCTTCTTGATAAATAATAACTACTTTTATTGTTTTTTCTGAAAATAAATGAATTAAACCATTAAAGTATAATAGAGTTATTATTTGATTTTCATAAGAATCAAAATAAATGTTTGTATTATTTAAATTATACAAATTAAATAATATATCTCCTTTACCAGTTAATTTAATATTTACTTTTTTATTTGATAATAGTCCATCAAATGAAAATGAATAAAATCCATCATTTAGGTAAATAGTTGTAGATTGTGAAGATAGTACCAATTGGTTTGTTTCTTTTTTGTACAACATACAATTTGATTCTTTTAAATCTTTTGTATTTATAGTACATGTAATGTTATTACCTGATGTAATGCAAACAATTATAAAAATTAAATAAACGTATGTCATCATTTGAAAAGTTTTTTAATTAATTAGTTTATAAGAGACTAGATAGTAGTGTCTATGATAAAAATAAAACTATACATATTTAAAGAAATAAAACTAAAATTTGAATAATTATTTCATAGTATCAATTATTTTAGATAAATCAGAAGCAATATTTAGTAATTCTTGAGTATTTATTTTTTCTTCTCTATCAACAAGAACAAGTTTTCTTTGAATAGTCCCAAGTTTTTGTAATAAAGATTCTTCTATTTTATCAGAATCTCTTGAACATTTTTTCTTCGATAACCAATCAATCGGTTGATCAACTAACAATGAATTTTGATCAACTCTCATACAAATTGAAGTCCCACTTATCGAAACTCGATGTTCAGCTAAAGCAACAGCTAATTCAATTAAAAGTTTTATATCTTCTACTGGTGGATATTTCATCAATCTTCTCAAAGAATAACTTTCATCATCTCGTTCAACAATATCATTTCTTACATATAACATCATTACTATAAATAAAGAATCAACTAATTTTAATTGATGTCCAAAAGCAAAGATTGCATCCCATAAAATAACTACATCATCTATATGAAATTCTCTTGCATATAACATTCGAATCCAACGAAGTCCAAATACTGCAGGAACAATATTATGTCTAATTAAAGTAGCAAAATACTTTGGGTCATATTTTGCTATTGATTGAAATAATTTTTCACATTTAAAATGAATTAATGATGTTGTAGAAGAGTCTTTTATTCTTTTTTGTTCATAAAATACTCCAAGAATAGTCATTAATTTTTCAAATAAAATAAATGTATCTGCTTCAATTTCATTTAAACAAATTACTGTATGTAATATTCCTCTTTCTATTGTATTGTTTTGAATTAACTCTGAATCTAAAACAAGTTCTCTTATAAAAATTCCCATTATCTCATGAAATCCTTGTTGATATCCTAAATCATCATGTTCACGTGCAAATATATATAATGCATTACTTATTTTTGTTCTTATTTCATTATCACAATAAAACTCAATTGAATTATATAATCTATCAATATCTTTCTTAATTTTTTTCTTTAATTCATCCCTTTCATTATTTGATGATCCACTTAATAATGGATCAACTACATACGTTTCATTTTCATATTTCTTTACAAGTTCATGATATCTTTTTCTTTCATTATTCATTTTACTTGTCCAAACAGAATTGACTGGTAATGGCAATACTCCAAGCCAAATCTTCCATGCAATTGTTCTTAAATTATATCTTGTCATTTTCCCTTCAAGTGCAAGTTTTTTAATCACTTTGGCACTCGTATCATTGACATACATCGTCTCAAAAATTTTTTGAGTTGTTTCCATTGTTTTATGTTTCTTTTGTGTTTTTGATTTTTTAGATTTTATTTTTGTTTTTTGACTGAAAAAAGAATAAACATCACTTCTTCTTTATTATTGCTTTATCTTTACACTTTATTGTTTTCATTGAAACGTTAATACAATAAACACACTTTGTTAATTTTTCTTTCTCCTCATTTTCATTCTTTTTTTCATTTATTGTTTCACAAAACAACTGTCTGACTAAAAAAACTTGTGTTAGTTTTAGTGAAATGTATTTGAAGTCATCTAATCGATTTAATGATGCATAAAGTAATTTTAATAAATACAATTAAAGATTTATTTTTAAAGAGTTTTGAGTTATATAATTTGTTTTTTATTCTATTTTCTTTTTCATTATAGAATTTTATCTGAATCTTCTTATAATACAAATAAGAACAAACATACATTTTTAATACCATTCTCTCAACATTAAAGAATTATTGATTCAATGAAAATATAAACAATAAACTAAATCAATTTTTGTTTGTTTAAATTGAAATATTCTAAAACAAACAAATCCATTTAATTTATTAAAACTATACAACCAAATATTGTTTTAATTCTATTACTAACTGTAACAAGAAATATTCGTTTATTTAGAAAACATGTTTATATTAAGAGATATTTATATTATTCATTACAGTGTTATTTTCAATTATTCATTTAAATAAGTAAATATGAATTATCCCATTTATCAGTTTTATTTCTCATAAACTTCATTTTCAATTTATTTTAGTAGTTAAGATAAAAATATCATTATTATATATTATTTTGGTTAATTGGTGTTATGTGTCTTTGATGTTTATTATTTCATATTTTAATTACAATTCTTTGTATTTATTCCTTTTAAAATATTATTTGTTGTTTACTGTTTTTGATTAGATTTGCTAAATTAGATTAGTTGATAGAGATATATGAAATAAATACGAAAGGAAAATAATGTTAAAAAACAAGAATAACAAAAATTACTTGAAAATATTAAGATTTTTTATTTTTCATAAAAAAAAAGAAAAAGAAAAAAAAAAGAAAAAGAATGGAAATAAACATAAAAGAAACAACACAAGAAGAGATTCGATTATTCATTTCTTCTCATCCTGTCACTAATCCTCTTCTCTTTTATTTGAACACTTCGTCTGTCTTTATTCCTGTTTGTGTGAATGTATATTTGTTGATGATTCAATTAAATAAAGTAGCAACAAGAATATAGTCAATGGCTTCAATTAATATACAAAACACTCATTGAAATCAACGAATCATACTCAGTGTTATTTGTTTTACTTATTCCACGTGTTAACTTATTCCCTCGTTATAATAATGTGGGTGTGGGTGGAACATTTGACCGCCTTCATTGTGGTCATTATTCCCTCATTCAAACGGCTTTATTCACTTCTTCATCACATCTTGCCATTGCAATCACTGGTGATGCATTACTTCATTCAAAACAAAACTATGAGTTGATTCATTCTTTCACCACTCGTCAAACACAAATCATTGACTTACTTCATACCATCAACAAATATTATCCAATTCCACCTTACACAATCTCCGAAATTAATCAACCCGAAGGAACATCAACTACTGACCCTACTCTCGATTGTTTAATTGTTAGTGAAGAAACACAAAAAACTATTTCATTCATTAATAACAAACGAATTATGAATGGATTTCAACCTTTACATTCAATTACTATTAATCTTATTCTTACCACAGATGGCTCAAAATTCTCTTCTTCTACTCTTCGTTCTAGAGAAAAGTCAATGAACCAATGTCAATAAGTCACAAATAAATCAATTGAAATTGCGTTCAACTTAGTTGGTTGGGTAAAGTACATAGTGCTTTTGATAATTTATTATATTAAACTGAATTATTACTAATAAATGATTCGAAGTTTTCATCATCCTTCCATTCCAATTTTTCCATAGTAGAAACGATTGGTACTGATATATATTTATTTGGTGGAATATAAGGAAGTTCATGATGGTTCATCCTTGGAGTTGAACCAACCCAGTCATAACTTTGTGGATTTTGAGTAACAAATTTAATGTCAACTTCTCTAGGCTCATCAACATCATATGTTTTAGTTTTTTGATGAACAATTTTCCATTTCCACGTTCCATTATTTGGTTTTTCTTCTTCATCCCAAGGGTCAGTCTCTTCAATTAATTTCCAATAGCCATTCACTCCATAAATTGGAAACCCTGTTTGGAAAGATGCTGAGTGACTTAAAGCATCAATCATTGCTTTCTTCCAAATTTGACTTTTTCTTTTAACTACAAAATGAACATGAATAAATAACGCTTGAAAAAAAAGTTACAAAAAAAAACAAACAATGCTTTAATTCACCGAAAATTTTAATATGGTTTGTAATAAAATGATATATGTCAGTTGTCAAACTGAAGTATTCTTTCATAGGAAACATTTTCTTAAGTGAATAAAATATTACTTTGAGAATAGTATTCCAAGTTGGTTTCTTCTCAAATTTGATAAATCCTCGTTGACAGAGTAAACAGTGGCATTCTTCAAAGTTTTTTGAAACTACATTACAAGTCTGAATTTGTAGTGGTAATTTGAGAGACATTATTCTGACTATGAAGTAAGTTTTATTTCTAATACTCTTTTTATATAATAAAAATAATCTGGCTTTTCATCTCTCTGAGAATGTTTGATTTTTAAACAAGGAAATGCACTATTCTTAATAAGGTGACCTTTGAGCCTATTTTGATAAATTTCATCGGTGATTCAATCCCTTTATAGTAATATTTAACTTTTTATTATTTATTTTTACTTTCTTCACTTTTTGTGTCTTTTAATTGATGACATCATAAACATTATAAGAAATAATATTAAATTTTTTCTTTTTTGACTTACTCACTTTTTGTTAATTATATTATTAACCTCTTTGGAATGAAATATTTACAATTCTTTTTAATATATTTTTTTTTCTTTTAAAAAGCATCTTATTCCAAAAAAAAAATATTCATATTCATAAGAATAATATTATAAAAAGTATGTTAATTTGATAAAAAAACAAATGTATATGTGTTCAACAATGATCACTCTTTGCATCTTGTTTTGTATCTGTAGGATTATCAGTTTCATTATTCTCTTCTTCAAATGACTCTACAGATATTTGAGAATCTGAATCTGTGTTATTATTACTTTCTCTATCATTTTCACTTGTTGTAACTTCATTAGCAATACTCATGTTTTCTTCTACTAAATGATGGAATGATATTCCATTAAATTTATTAAATTTTTCACAATGATCTCCTTTCATTCTTGATAATACACTTGATCCTTTAGTTTCATTAAAATCAGTTGAAAATGTATTATTATCCGTTTGGTTGTCTACTTCAAAATATCCTGTATCTGTTTCATTATCTAATTCAGGTACAAAAATATCTTCACGACTCTCATTTAATAAAGTGTTCCAATTAATACCTTCAAACCAAGGATGTGATTTAATTTCTTGGACTGACTTATAACCTAATCGTTTTTTAACTTCAACTGTTAGTAACCCAGACACAATACTTTTTAACTCATTTGATGGATTAATAGAAGATGGCCACGAATATTTTCCTGTTCTAATGTTTTGAAAAATGGCATCTGGTGTTTCTTCGTGGAATGGAGGAATTCCACAAATAAATTCAAAGATCATTGATCCTAAACTAAAATAGTCTGAGCAACGAGAATATTGAAATGATACAATTGACTCAGGAGCTACATAGTCAGGTGTACACACTAATCTTGAATCTTCAACTGTTTGTTCAATTTTGGATCCAACAGTAGATAGTCCAAAGTCAGTTAATAACAAATGTCCATTTTTATCAATGAGAACATTATCTGGTTTAAGATCTCTATGGATGCATCCCAATGAATGAATATATTCTAGTGCTAACACAATTTCTGCTGAATATATTTTTGCTGTGGTTTCATCTAAATAACCAACATTACTTAATAAACATCTAAGATCTCCACCTGGACAATACTCCATTACAAGGAATAAATTATGTGTGTCTTGAAAAGCATAATACATTTTTACAACAGAAGGTGTTTGTGCTCTTTGTAGAATTGTTTTTTCAGCTAGAACACCATCTACAACATTTTTTCTAATCATATCAGCTTTTTTCATAATTTTCATAGCATAAATATCATTAGTAACCTTCTTTCTTACAAGATACACACTAGAGTATGCTCCTCCATTAATTCTTTTAATAATTTCAAAGTCTTTTAATCCAATGTTATTCCATGTCTCATCTAATCGAACTCCAGCACCTAACACGTTAAGTAATTGTCTTGGATTATTTGGATTTTCTATGTATTTTCCTAAAATATCAGTTTTGTGATGTATTAATTTTTGAACATAGAAAGCAAAAACATATCCACACACATCATGTTGATATGATCCTACTAGGTCAGCACTAACTTCATTATAAACTTTTAAATTATCGTATTGTTTTTGTAATGACTCTCCCATAATTCTAATTGCTGCATCAGAAACTTCAATTAATCTTTTGAAACAATCTGTTTTCTTTAATTCTGAAATACGTTTCGCTTCTTCTACAATACCTTTTAATCGTTCAGCATCTGTTGTTGCTTTCATACAAATTTCATTTAATGTTTTACAATAATACGTGTGTCGAGCAAGATGTTCTGCTAAAACTGTAGCTTCACAAATTCTACAAACAACTCCTGAACGTGGAGTTACAGTTGTGCTTGATTCATTTGAATTTATTAAACTCATATCAAGAGATGAAATACTTTGTTTTCTAGATTGACTACGTGACGATTGATGTGAGTGATTTTTAGAACGTGTTTCTATTCGTTTAATTTCATTTGAAGAAAGTAAACGAAGAAGTTTTAATAATTGGACATCTTCAGGATGATTTAATGAAATTTCTTTAATTTGACTAATAATTTGATTCAATTCTATTGCATCTAATAAATCTATAGACTCTAATCTCTTACATAAATGAATTAATGAA